CTGGTCGTCCTCCAGGTCAAAAAGGTAGCCGACACTATGACCGAAGCCTCTGCAAAACTTATTCTCGGTGCCATGAAAGCGTAGCACTGTAAAATGAAAATTCCCAACCTGAAATATTATTGCTTGTAGTTGGCTTGTAGTACATTATTTCCACAAATGTACTTGTACCATTCATATTTTCCTAGCCTCAGCTGAAGATCGTACATGCAAAAGGAAATTATATAACCATCGTCCAGTTTGTTCGGGGCCAAGAATCGAGGTGCACTAGCTTCAAGCTTTGGTAGTCTTCCTTCCTGGTCACTATATTTTCCCTCCGCAAAATCCAGCCCTGCCACTCGCCTCCCAAGTAGCCACCACAATTACACGGAGACTCACCACAGGAACATCCCCACGAATCACCTCCATCATTGTGTCTCCTCCAGTATCTTTGTCACCACCGTCTTTATTACTAAGTCCTCCGCCCACAACGCCACTATTTTAAGCCTCGAGGGAAAGTGTGTCGGGTACGTAGCATCGTCGAAAGAGCCCTCAACAGTCTTCGTCGAGACGCGAAGCTGTCGTGAAATTGTTTCGATTTTGATTGCAAATTCGCAACGCGTCGCGTCCCTGACTACAGGATCCCGGTGTTGCAGACGTAGTGCGCATTCAAAAAAAGTCTTAAATATCTGTTATGCTAAGTGAGGTGAAGCCACAACATTAATATCGAACGAAGGAATGACGCGCAGTGCTCCAGGACTTGACAGCCTTGGAAATAAATCAGAAGTCGAAGGTGGCATCTTGTTACAGCAATAATGCTTTACATCCAATTTGCAGCCTGCCGCTTCAAGTAAAGCAATCCGTTGGATTGTTTCTGCGTCGAAAGGCTCTACATCGGGTTCTCCGGGCACCAAATCAAACTCTATATCGACATTCTGGAGAGGTCGAAGCAGTGGGCATCCAATGTGCTCAATAGGTCCAAAAACATCTAAGACGATGTTCCATGGGATGGGTTCCCTCGATAAACACCCAAAACACGAAAGGTAAGGAAGAAATGGCTTTATGTTGTTACTGACGGAAATTCGATTGAGTCGTTGGATCAGATTTTTGGGAGAGAAGTAACCGGTGCTGCGAGGGAGCATATAAAACTCAAGGTGTTGAAGTTTCGGTGTTTATGGATAAATTGTTCTTCGCCCATACTTTCTACCGTCGGAAAGCTTAAACTTTTCACAGGGCAGTCCGAGCGTCTGATAAGGACATCAAGGACTTCGACATTTAGATCGCCTGGACATTGAGGGTAGTATGAAAGATGTTCCAGGCGCGGCAGAGTAACTGCTTTGAAGAAGGCATCTCCCAAAGAAGAACCCTGATCGGTCGAGAACCCAAGGTGCCGGAGTTGACGGTGAGTTGTAGAAACAAGGACTGGATTTTGGTCGAATTGAGGCCATACAACATCCACCAAATTTAGGTAGGTCAATCGCGGTGCATGCTGGAGGAGTTGGATGCATTCATCAACGGCATTGCCGGTAATTTCCGCCTGCTTAAGATCCCCCCATCCAATCTGAAGCAGACCAAGAGGAAGTGACGATGTCACAACGCATTCCGGATTGGTGCCAGAAATAAGAAAGGGCACATTTGCTTCGCCGTCAGTAGATCCCAGCTCAAGGTAATGCAAAAGAGGTGCCTTTCTTTGCGGCCCACCAAAAAGGGATAACATGAAGGATGGAAGATGAAGAACGACTTCATGCCACCTGTCGGAATACTCGTTGATAATATCAACCAATGAGACCCAGTTAGGTTCCACGTATTGAGAAAGGGTTGTGATGCATATCTTGAGGGGTCGCTGCCCAGATCTGCTTAACCATTCCCGTACCATATCCCAGTTTACAGGTGTGTTCTCTTGTTCGATAGTCAATTTGAGGATCGCCCATATAGCAGGAGTTGTCCGGGCTATGTCTCTCCAGTGCTGACAGACCCCTCCCAAGAGCAAGGGCGTTATGGGCGCCTCACTATTTATAGAGCCTTCCACGCACTCCTGGAAGATGGTCGATAAATTTCGACGGGAACTTTGAGATTGACAGAGTTGTATGTTTTCATGTAAGTAAAAATGTTGAGATCCTGGTTCCAGGTTGATCTGTGAGTGGAATTTATATTTTTCTGTTGATAAATCATGATCGCACCGGTTCAATAAATTTGTTATTGACAGTTTGATTTGATGTCAATGCAGGCCATGTGCGACGTGTAACGCGAACACAGGAGGTGCCTGCGAGCGCTACGGCGCGATTTGGAGACTGGCAGGAAAGATATAGTGAAGTAGGAGCGGCAACAAAAAAAAAAGCGGCTGATTTCCAATATTTGGCAGCGCCCTCTTCACCAAACTATGAATTGCCTTTTGCGGCCTATTTTCAACGTGGGACACGCTTGTCGCTGTCAGCTTCGCTTTCTGCAACCGGCGGCTTCTGGACCCAGCTTACCCTTGACTGCCATCGTTGCAGGGCTAACTTTACTTTAACTTATGCTTTAATATCACAAACCACCAAGTTGAATCAGGTATCACCTGTTCTTTGAAGAATGAATGTGGAGAGGCCCAGAGCTCGCGTTTTTAAGGTGCGCAGAAAGAGTGCAGTTGCTTTGGAATCTACGCTGATTTCTATTGTCTATCAGGAGCGCACGAATACCTTAGTTTCGACCAAATCTGTTGGTGTGGTCTCTTCCAAACCTCTCATGGATGTCCTTGCGCCGCCCGCCCTTGAAAGATCGGCTGCGGACAAGGTCACGGTCAAGGACGAAGATAAAGAGCCAATAACTGTCCATCACCAAGCGAGTGTTGAGGCGTACGAGTCTCGACGCTCTACACGTTACCTTGCAGCCGAACAAGGCCTGTCGCAATCCTTCCAGCACTGCCAACAAGAACACTCTTCTCAAGAGCTCCAAATCGACGCCTTACGGAAGGTCAAATCCATGCTCACAAACCACGCTACCGGCTCCCGCGAGCAGCTCAGCCGGTTACGGAAAGTCCTAGCTGACAGGGCGATGGAACCCACGCTTTACCAAGCTGCACAGCGCGAACGGTGGATGGAAGAGAGGAAGCTAGTCACGGCAGAGGAGTTGACCAAGTTCCTCGAGCAGCACATCTCGATGCTTTCGTCCCAACCACCACGCCCACCTTCACCGCCAGCGACTTCCGCAGCTTCTCCTGAAGCTAATACCGTTGCTTTCACTCCAGAAGCCAACCTTGTGAGGTTCTTCAAATCGACCTCGCGACAACGAAACTTCTCTCGGAATCGGCCTCGTCGTCGGGTTACTGTGGCGTTGAGGCCTCGCTCTGACAAAGGACTCGAAATTCCTCGAATACACGATCACAAGCATCCCATACCACTTCTTTTGCGCGAGCCCAAGCCCAAGCAGCGAGCTCTATTGTTCCAGACTCCGGAGATGTCTGTGGTACCCAAAGCTCAGGCGCAGTCAGTCCCAGTAATGGCTAGCCCTATCCTCCCGACCCCTTCCATTCAACCTCCAGAACCATCTCCATGTCCAGCCTCCCCAAACGCCATAATCAAACCAACGACCCTTGCCATCATTCCGGAATCCACTCCTTCGCTTCAGCCTCTGACACCATCCTTTGCTTATAGTTCGAACGGCATTGCTACAATTTGGAGACCTTCACAGCGTTCGGCAGAGGAAATACTAGCTGATTTGGATGTGGTTGTTGACATTCCAGACTACGTGTCAGATCTCCTCTCAGGCTTTGATTCCATATCCAACGCTACTCCGTGTCTCCTCCCTCCTCATGATGCTCCAGTCCCCATAGCCTCATCTTCGAATATTAGTCGCGCTTTAAGCAGCGACAACCTCCGTTCCACTCACCGCAGCACCATGTTCTCACCCAATGTCACCCAATCGCACAGCACCCCGAGCGCACATCTCCCTACACCTCCTTCCCCTTTGCATAAGTCTCCCTCTCGCAAGAGAATCTCCGCCCTTTTCTCATTGCCAGACGCCCTTTCCTCACGTCGTGGGATCAATACCGAGTGTGACTCCTCACCTCGCCCAAAGCGATTCAGCTCGGCCGTTTTTAAGGAATCTCAGCGCAGTAGGAGACCTGTGTCGGTGTCAGTATCATTCGCCGATCTTCCTTCTGTCGAATCGGAATCGGATGAGTCGCGCCAACCGGAGAAGGACGGAGATGGGAAGATCCTGAAGAGGCTCAGGCGGAGGATGTCTGCGCTGCGGCGGAATTAATTTTGGGAATAGCATGGAAATACTTTCCTTTCCGTTCGTTTTCCTGCTGGGTGTCGCTCCTTGCTGACGGTCTGCTACCCGCATGAGCTCAGCAAAGCCTCTCTAGTTTGTACTGCATCTTTGCTACTGTGGTATACCATCTGCCACGTCCTTCCTTTTTCTCATTCTATTCTGCCTTCTCTTTTCTTGCTCTTTGTTTAGCCCCAGCTGCATCTCATGTTCTTGTCACGATATCTTGCATTCCTTTCATTACTCACTTGCTTTCACGTATTTCTTGATTACGCTATAGTATATCACGCTTGTTACATACCCAACTTCTTGCTTTCGCTTATGCATTATTCTTATGATGGACATGGCTTCTTCGCTTTGGGAATTTACAATGACATATTATACATACTGGAGAGGGAGAAAGTCAAGTAAATGGATGGACTATATTTGTGTTTATCTTATATCATTTGCAGTTTCTAATGTGGCTTTTGTTTCGTATACAGTAACATGTTGTCGATAATGATGACAATTTTGGAATCCTTCTCTTCCACGGTACTGAAACCTGTTGCTGCACTTGACCAAAGCCATCTCCTGAACTTCAAGTTGATGCTCAAGCTTTTTTTTGGCAGGCCCACTCACTAGTACATACTTGTCCGAGAGCGACCCCTGAATTCAACTGACTTCTCATAGAAGTGGAAAAGTAAATGTACTAACTTACGTTTACAGGCATTTGAATGGCCTAGTCTCAAGGAAGCCTCAGCGCTTGCGTTAGCGCTCACGTAACCGAGAGCACAGCCCGCCTAGCTCAATCGGATAGAGCGTCAGACTCTTAAGGCGGGTTAATATCAACTTTGCTGATATCTGAAGGCTGCGAGTTCGACCCTCGCGGTGGGCTATTTGTGATGTACCTTGTTCAAACTTTTGCACTTTACAACCCTCCTCTCAAGATCATCTTTTGGTACTTTTTTTTCTTCCTTTACTCTCATGAAAATGAAGAACAGTGTAAAAAAACCATTGTGATGAATGTCAATGATTAATTGACTAAGGATAACATAATGTTAGCACTTGACACTTTGTACTTTACTTAAGCTTGTATCACCTAATTTCACCTTCAAACTCATTAGAGATCAAAGCATCCACAACCCAGAAAAGAAGAAATTTTCCAAACTGAGGTGTGGGGACCCCGAGATCCTATCTGGCCTCTGTATTGCTGTGGCCTGCCTAGCTCAATTAGATAGAGCATCAGACTCTTAGGAGAGTCCAGTAGGAATCTGAAGGCTGCGAATTTGAACCCTCGCGGTGGCTATTGAGACCTTTTTATTTACATGGGTGCATGTAAGGGTCTGAGTTTTTTTTTTTCTCAGGTATGATCAGAGTGGATAAGGGGTCCAAAAATCCCAGGTACATGAGATCAATCCAGGCTGCCCTGCCAGTGGGTGTATCAAAGGAACTGGAGATTTGGAAGGAACCAGTGCTCAGGGTCACTGTTGGGCATGAAAGTGGTTATGGCAAGAAGGTTGAAAAACATATTAGGTGAATACTTAATTGACCATGTCAGATGTGATCCAGGTTCGAGTTCAAGGTGCTCAAGAGAGGGTATCTCTCTCAAGAAATGGATAAGGGCACTGCCAGTCAGCGCTGTCCTTTTGATTGCTAATTCTTGCAAGTGACATGAGGAGCAATGCAACAGCAAAAAAGGGGAATTAAATGGCAAATCATTGAAGTTGTCACAGGTCAATGTCCTCAGATCTGGAAAAGTGAGTTGCTGGAGAAAAATATCTGCAAATTTATCAGAGCTCTGAACAATGAGTGTTTCTAAGCCATGCTGGATGACTTCACCAGCTGAAATCTCCTCCCCACCCATGAATAAGGAGGAAAGTATGCATTGCTTCAGGGCAGTTGTATCTCTGAAAAGTTTAAGACATTCATTCACTTGAATTCTGTGTAGACACATGTGGGTAACTTTGCTCCAGTCAAGATTGACTGAACTGGAGGCAATATATTGCAAATCCACTTCTTTCAGTTTTGGTCTGGCATTTCAGAATGAAAACATGTCTGCAACAAGGGGAGAACTGGAAGGAGACTGTAAGCACAAGGTCCAAAGATTCCAAGGGGCTTGAGAGCCAGCACAGAAATCTATTAGCTAAGGGAATGGCATGCATAGGTCCATTCATTCCCATCTATAGGAATGTTCATTGAGGAGTCAAATTAATGAGTACAGACTTTTGTATTCCTCCAGTCTGAGCTTCTCTGAGTAGACCTGAATAGCCAGCAGAAGCTGACCAGCCTGTTCAAGGCATCCATGTACTTTGTTGATGTGGGAGGCTAAATCGGGGCAATCAGCATCGATGTTGATAACATTCCAAAGACTGGGTGAAGACCAAGTGATTTTTCTCTACTTCTGACAAACCACTCCAAGTGTCCAAGAGGTTGTGTTCAAATTGCTTTTAGAATTCTTGGCCCTTAGATGAGTACTGTGGGATTATATAGTTAGAATATATACTTCAAATATAGCAGATATAATTTCATTAGGTAGGAGGTTGCTGATGGGGTCATGAACATTGTTCATCTGTGTGCGTATTTTGCAATGCTGCTGCAGCAAACCATCTAGGACTTTTTCCATCTCTTGAATCTGGCATTCAAGCTTCCTAGCTTGAGCACATGGAATACAGGAACTGGAGCTAGCATTGGCTGATGGACATGTTTTAAGAGCGTCCAACCTGTCAAAAGGGCTGCAGAAAAAGCAAGCAGAACTCATGTTCCTGTATATGTCAGCCTTGAGAAACATCCTTTATGCAGGACTAAAAGTTGACTATTACTTCCTCACCTGTCTTGATGTAGTTCAGTTTCAGAAAAAAATAGAAGTCAAAGAACAGAATGGTATGCAGTGAAGGACACTAGGTCTACACTGGTGTTCACAAAGAGGTGACAGTGTAAGGTCTTCAACCAGCATTAGAATGTGATACAAGAAGTTTGAACTGAGCAGAGGAAGGTAAAGGGTGTGCTGAGATGGTGTGTCCACATCTGTTGCAAATACAGTCAAAATGGTTTGAATTTTGAGGAAGCATAAAACAGTAAGTAGTACAGTCAGTGGAATTAGCCTAGCTGGTGGCTGAAAAATGGCCAGAATAGTGGTGAGAATGTAGTTGAGTAGCAACAAGAATAGATGTTTTGTCTTTCTGTAGAATACAGCAACACCCATAATCTTTTTCCCCATTGAAGACACTTCAAGGAGTCATGTTCGACTTGGAGTGGGGTTTGAAACAACTGTCCAATTGACCCAAAATAGGCACCACTGAAACATCATGTTCAGTTAGACTCATGACCAGCCATCTAAATGAGCAAAGCATTAATTAGATGACTGGAAAACTGGGACATCCCATGAGTGAGCAAGTGTTATGAGCCATCGGACATTGCTGACCCCTCCCCAGAAAGCAGGTGGTCCAAATAAGGAAGGTTAATATTTTGGCTGAGTGCATTGACCATGGCCTCCCTCTCATTGTTCCTCTTCCTTTCACCTTCATGTGTACATTATGAATGATACCATCATTTCAAATGAAAAGATTTCTACCTTCAGAACATGTTCTCCAGCAGAAATTGCATGCCTTGTATCAAATGAAATTCCTCAAGACTGGCTTCCTGCTCAATACCTCCAAAGCCTGTCAAAAGAAGATTGAACTGTGTGTTTCCAAGCCTTGACAATATGCTGGTCAATATCTAGCTTGACTATAGTGCCAAGGGAGATGCAGCTGAGGGTGGTCTTGGTGAATCATCATGGGAAGGACATGTTGATTGCTGCAGGAACTGGCAGTGGGAAGACTTTGCCTATTGCACTTTCTATCCTTCTCAATGATCCAGATGCACACTCCATAACCCTTACAATCTCTCCTCTGAAGCAGCTACAGGTCATGCAGGAATCCAATTTCAACCTTCAGTTTGGGATACCAACAGTGACAATTAATGAAGATACTCCCTATGAAAGTGAATGGTGGAATGTGAGTATTAAATACACTTTTATTGATTGGTTTTGGCACCATTACAAGGAGTAGACAAGATGGAAAGAGGGAGAGAAATGAGGATAGGTGTCATGGTCAACACACTCAGCCAAAATATTGACCTTTCTTATTGGGACCACCTGCTTTCTGGGGAGGGGTCGGCAATGTCTGATGGCTCATAATGCTTGCTCACTCATGGGATGTCCCAGTGTACAGGTCATCAAATCAAGAGTGATCTCATTTTGGTGGCCAGTCACAGGTCTAATGTTTGGTCAAGATCTGATTGGAGAGTTGCTCCGACACCTCTGGCAGCTGGTGCAGATCACCTTAAGATGATGTACTTGTAATGAGTACTTGTCATGGCTTTCAATTCTGACTTTTGAGGTAGGCACAACTGACAGGTCTCATGAGCGACCTGCCATGATTGACTGACTGACAGTTCTCAGTCCCTCTAGCATATGCTTTGACAGGTTCTGAATTTAAACTGAAGTAGCAAATGAATTCAGATTAGGAGTATACTCACCTCTACAATCCCTGAAGTGCACCATTTACTAAGATATCATCCCATAGGAAACCAACTGTCCAATGTTGACCTCTTCCAGAAGACCTATTACTCATTGACTGATAATTGCAAAGAGGACAGCATTAAATAGCACCTTTCCATATGGCAATCATGGAGTGAACACCTCCCCATTCTTTTTGCCATTCAGTATACTTAGAACTCTAGGATGTTAACCTAAGGACTGATCTCTGAAATGATAGGCTCATGGGAGGAAATACTATTTCTGTGACTTGTCCATGCCTGACAATTGGAACTTCATCTCCCCACTATCCTTCAGGTTCACCATTGATAATGCATTCACTATGCCTCCTCCTGCTATTCCAGTAGACCCATCTGTTGGTCCTGAGGTGGTTTTGCCCACTTCACCCAAGCTTGGCCTAGTTCAGCTTTCAGATAACATCAATGTAAAACAAGTTGCCTCTTCATGGTTCCCTCTTTCTCTAAAGTACTTCAAGATGGCAATGTTGATGGAATTCTGTCTCATCTTGTAACTTCTTCATTTGCTTTCAATTTTTTTCTAGCAGGGAACATGTCGACCTGACTTCTCCACAGGACACTCCACTATATTGGAAAGATATTTTGGCATTGTCATGGGATATCAGGACATTCAAAGGCACAGAAAAAGTCAAGAATTTTCTCTCCAGTCAGTTAGGATCAGCAAAGTGTAATCCTGGTCAGCTTACTGTGCTGTAATCTACTGCTTTCAGATTAGGGTTTACACCATATATAGAACTGAGTGGCTGAACTATTAATTGTTCAGTTATTCTGCCTTTTGGCATAACTGGTTGAGCACAGTTCTCTTGACCAACCTCCACAAAGATATCCAATGTCGCCCTCCAGACAGATTTTCCTCCTTCAGTTCAGCACTTTTTCCCAGATCTTGTCTGGATTCAGCTCCTGTTCAAGTTTGAAACCACAGTTGGTTTATGTTCTGGTATCATATGACTGGTTCCTATCTCCAACAAAGACAGTCAAGCTCCTGTCTGGAAGGTATTCTCAGTGTTCACAAACTTGGAAGATTTGAAGTATTTTCTGGAGAAGGTGGGTCCTTTATGCAACCAGGAGCCTAACCATGGAAAGTGGGAGAGTGCAAGAATGGAAGAAATTGCCTTTGAAGGCAGAAACCCTACAGTTTTGATTATTGGAGGGGGCCAATGTGGTCTTACAATGGCTGCCTGACTAAAGGCTTTGGATATCTCAATGCTAGTACTGTTGCATTTCATTCAATTCACCACCCCCTGTGACCTGTGACCTGCCTGGTGAAATGCCAGGTTCACCAGGTGGGCTTGGGACCTGTGACCTACCTAAAATTTCACCAGTCTTACATAGTTGTCATGG